GACAGGCAAATAGGGAGGGTGTCATATATTCGCCTTGCCATTTGTGGAATTCCAATCTCACATCACATATTACATATACTTGTGAGATTATTAATTCCACATCATGGCAAGGCTTCATATATGACAATGTATTGTTCAAAGAATTAAATGAATACAAACACCCACCCGACGGAATAATATCCAGTTGTGGATCAGAAATGGTTTATAATAAAACCTCTCAAAAGTAGACTGTCTAGACCATCCAGCACACCTCAAGATATCTTCCACAGGAACTCCTGTGGATCTAGCCCTTGAGCTTGCTGTATCTCTTGTAGAGTGAGCCTTGAAGACATCAGGGATCAACTAGGATATCTGCCACCGGAAGTAAAAAATAAACACTAAACCCCAACCCCTTAACCCTATGGACAGGCGCTCTAACTAAGATCGACGACAGGGTGTGGGTTGGCATATATTCTAGTTGACCCGACATCAGTATCAATCCCTGCCTCCTTCATTGTAGCTTTTATCCACCTACTGATGGTACTAGATGCTACTGGCTTATGAGGACGGTTAAAGGAGAGAAATAAGGGATTAGCCATACCAGATCCCTGGGGTCAAAAGGAGAGGGTAGCTCTTTCATAACTCTCTCGAGAGTAGACACATGGCAGAGGATTGATTCCGTTATCAGCCTTTTAATAAATATTGCTCTGGGTGGTCCAGATCTCCTAGTCGGAGAGACCAGCTAGTTGAAATGTTACTCCCTCTTGTGAGAATGAACTAAAACGTAAGTCCAGAAAAAAAGATCGGAAGAATGAGCAGCTGAAGATAAGGCTAGCAACATTGCCAATTTATATGACAACTGCTTCTGAGAGAGTGTGTCTGAATGACCCAAGTTATTCTGGAAAAGGGAGATTACCACATTCACATCCCACGTACTCCTATACTTAGGCAATGGGGGTCTTTTATTAAACATACCTTGGAGGAGTCTTGCTATCAAGGGGTGTTGTCCCACAGGAACCTCACTAATAGGAGGGAGAGTAGCTGAGAGAGAAGATCGAATTGAATTTAGAGTAGAATACTGCAAACCAAACTGAAAACCTGAAGTTAAAAACTCTCTAAAATCTTCTATAGATGCTGAAATTGGATTGGTATTATTTGATTGACACCAAGAGCACCATTTCCTCCGGGCAACTGCATAGGACTTCTCAGTGCCCTTCCTCCAGGCTGAGCATAAGAGGTTAAATGCTTTAACTGAAATGTCCTTGTATCCTCCTCTAGACCAGAGACTCTCCAGGTGGTCAGACTGAGAGAACCATCCAGAACTAGAGTGTGAAACTCTTCTAACAGATTCCTCAGCAGGCTGTGCTCCTCTGGAAGGATGAGAGGATAGTCCATCAAAAGGCTGACTAGAACTGGGTACCAAATCTGAGATGGCCAGTTGGGAGCAATTATCACCACCTTCCTCAACCTCTTTCGACTGATCTTCTGTAGCACTCTGCCTAGAAGGAGAAAGGGAGGAAAGGCATAACAGCTGAGACCCTCCCAGCTCTGAGCTAGAGCGTCTGAGGCTAAAGCCTCTGGATCCTGGTGATAGCTGAAAAATGACTTCAGTTGGGAATTGTGACGGGCAGCAAAAAGATCTATATCGAAAGGACCGCACTTTCTCTGTAACTTCCTGAACACTATCTGGTCCAACCTCCAGTCGCTCGACTCCAACTTTCTCCTGGACAGTGAATCTGCTAAGCAGTTATGAGAACCAGGGATGTGTTCTGCATATACTGTTAAGTTCCTCTGCAAACACCAGAACCATATTGAGACTTCCAAGTCTGACAAAGTCTTGGAGTGAGTAACACCCTTCTTGTTTAAGAATGCTATGGCTGTAGTATTGTCCATCAATAATCTGATGTGCTGGTGGGATAGCTCTGATGCAAAGCCCTTCAGACCCAAGAATGAAGGTCCTTCATCCAAAAGGATAGGTCAATCCTTGCTTTTTCGTCTAGGGGAAAGGGTGTGTCCATAGAGTCGCTCTGCTTCTGAGTCTGATGTTTCAAGCCCTGTAATGAAGTGGGCCTACTGAAACAGCCTGATTTACAGAGGTCAATAAACCAATTAAGTGAGCTAAGTCCCTCTCTGAAGCCATTGCTTTGTTCCAAAGAGACTGGCATTCTCTGAAAATCTTCTGAACTTTGTGCTGTGGAACACTGAGTGTCAAAGACTCTGAATTCACCACCAGACCAAGAAACTCTATAAATTGACTGGGTTCCACAACACTCTTCTTCCAATTGATGCAGAAGCCTAGTTTCTCCAACAGAGCTATTGCTTTCTGCAAGTGAGCTTTTACTTCTGACTGGGTGGAACCCATGATGAGTATGTCGTCCAAGTAAATGATCAGACGAATGCTCCATGATCTGAGGATAGAGATTACTGCTTTCATTATCTTTGTAAAGACTCAAGGAGCAGTCACTAACCTGAATGGGAGAGACTAAAACTGTTATGCCCTGTCCTGGCAGACAAATCTGAGGTACTTCCAGTTGTTGCGATGGATTGGGACAGTCAAGTAAGCATCTTTGAGGTCCAATTTCACCATGAAGTAACCCTTCCTTAGAGTATCTCTCAGACAAAGAATGCTCTCCATCTTGAAGTGTTGCACCCGTGAATGTGAGTTCGGTTTCCTCAGATTTATAATGGGTCTCGTGACACCATCCTTCTTTGGGATGGTAAACATGGGGCTGAAAAATCTGACTTGTCTGGAGCTATCTCTATTGCCCCCTTCTGCAGTAGTTCTTCCACCTGGCTCACTAGATCTGGGTTCTCTGGCTGGTTCAGAATGGGTGGCGTATCCGGGGGATAATTCATCAGTTCCATTTGGGCAAATTTTAAGGCCAACGTCGTTGGTCACGTGAGATAATTTATTTTTTAAAATAAAATCTTTAAAATTTGCTATGGATTCGAGTATTTTTGTCGGCCAAATTCATTGTCATGTATGAAGCCTTGCCATGATGTGGAATTACACTAAGGCTAAGTGAATTAATTCCTCTTTTCTGTATAATAAAATGATGTTAATACCATAAAAATGCATATACTGTGGTGAATTTAGCCTTTTTTCATCATCATCATCATCATCTACCTTGCTACCTGTTTCTTAACAAAAACCTACCATGCCTACTTGCAATTGACCAATGAAATTGCAGTATTGGAGGTCAATTATTTTTTGTATTAACCTAGCTCATAAAAATATAAACCTATCTCGTTAATTAATTCTAATTGAAGATTATAATTATGTTGAATGATTTTGTTATAATTATGTCTTTAGTGTTTTTTCTAGTTTCTTTTTTTCTATTCCTTCTTCATGTTGATTCAGACATTATTGCAATTAGTTATATGGAGGGTGAATGGTGTTTTTGAATAAATTTAAGTACATTCTTCATTGATACATGTATCTACTTCAATTTTCTTTTTCTTAGATGGCCCATTTTTGTTCCTGAGAATATTTGAAATTTCTCTGTTTTGATCATCCGCAATCCTTTTGTAAGCACGAACTCCATTTATACGTGGTCAGTTTGCTTCATGATGAGCTGCTCATCTACTCCTGCATTGTCTAGTTGCAGCAGTGACCCTCAACGAGTGGTTTGTCTTGAAGCCTTTGATGCCAGACATGCTGCATAAGCGAGATACCATCTTTCCCAAAGTGTTGTGTCCTATGGACACACCAGAAAACCATATGTCATCCTTCTTCTTTTTAGTGGTGTGAGATAAAACAAATTGCTGGTATGTTTTGATGCTGGAGGGCATTGTGAGATATAAATTTGATAAAATCTCACAAAACATCGTTCAGGATTGTCTTTATTTTCACTGTGCTCAACTATTTTGGGTTCAGTTTTCCTGTGCTTTAGTCCCCTAGGGTTATTCTTTGATGTATTTTCAAAAGTATCGCAAAACTTTCAAACCATCTCTGTCTATAACCTCTAGCTGCAGAAAAACTCAAATCACGGTGCTCTTGCCCACTCCTCAAAGCTAAATAATAGCCACACATGTATATACCACTGTGTCCACTAACAATTGTGGAGATGAATCTCCTAGAACCCCATTTGACCACGTAAGGTCGTCCTCTTTCTTGTCTATTGGCTCTGCTCTCTTAACTGCAACTCCCTTTCCTTTGGCTTTTAATCACTTCATTTCGCCATCAAGTACTCTTCTAAATGTGTCAAACTCAGGTTGCTTATAGAAATTGATAGAAAGTGAATATAACTCATGATACCACACTAGCAATTTGATAGAGTCTGTTGGTTGGGTACTCTGCACCATCTTTACAATGTACTTCCAATATGAACTTGCACATCCAGTCATTTAGAGTGGGTGCATTCAGCACAAGATTTGGCACAGCAGGAGGATGCGCAACTCCTCAATTCTCTCTATTTTGCTACCATTCCTTCCATAGATTTGAAGTCCAAAGAGTTGCTTGCTCTGTTGTCTTAAGGCCCCCATACACTGGGCAACATGTTGCTTGGAACATCTGTCGTTACTTTGATCTTGTAAGCAACATGTTGCCAGAATTAGAACAGCCTTCTATTTCTGGCAAAATGTTGCTTACAAGATCAAAGTAACCACAGATGTTGCAAGCAACATGTTGCCTAGTGTATGCCTGGCTTTAGGTACCAATTTTTTTGCTGCTTGATCAAGTTGATACGAGCTAAAAATTGATTGGGCGGAGTGCTAGTAGAGGCCTGGCCTGAGGTGGGGCAACGAGGGACAAAGTGGGAGAGGCTCGAGCTCAAACTTCCTTGCCATTTTTGTCAGTGCTTTTTACAAAATGAGCTCAGTTGTCAAGGGACACACTTTTATAGTGCTCTTAAAAGATGAACAAGCTACTAAGGAAACCTATTCTTCTGCAACATGATTGGTCATTGCAAGTTGGCATGGTAGAAGTTGGTTATACACCTCGGTCTCGGTTTTTATGGCATTTAGTGACCTTGTGACTGTGTCGCTCGGCTAGCAAATCCCCTAGCAACCTCGACCTTGGTGTATAACCTATACTAATTTGGTATTTCTCAGTTTTTGATTGCATCCACTTTCCTTTCAATTTTACAGAGTGTGTATGTGGTTACAAGTTTATACAAAAAATATCAATGAATCAAGTTACTATTTGTAGCCGAAAAGAAAGAGGAGAAAGCTGAATGACTCAATTATAAAGTTTATGTTATATTAATAATGAAAAGTGACATACCTTTGGTGATTTCTTAAAAGTGTTGTATAATAGACTGCTACAGAAGATTTCCATCAATGTCAAAGACAGATAATTGTTTTTTTAAGTGGTAACAGTTCAAATGGTGTATACCTTGTTGCAGATTATCAAAATATTCATCTTGTTCTAGAAAGTTATTGCTTCTTTATAATTTTACCTTAATTTTTGGAGGGAATGAAGGGCACTATAGATCCACTCCAAAAAACTTTGTTTTATGAAATACATTTTTGCAAATATGTTTTAAGAAACAACAAACCTTGAATTTTGAAGTATGTATCTATGAAACACTAGTTATATAAGAAATGGCAGAAACCCTTTGATTTCTAGCAAAACTTTTACAGGTAATTGTATGTCTAATATGAAGTGGCATGCTAACATTTCTAAAAACAAAGGGTATAGTATTTTCTTTCTTTTGGCATTTATTATGACCCTGATCATCATTTATGAGTTTCTCATTTTGGCTAGATAATATCATAAATCTCTTCTTTTTGCTGAATATTTGTTTTCTTGTAGCTTTGCACTTCAATGCCCTGTAATAGACGTTATTTTGTCACCTTCTATACCTTTTTGAAACATGCAAGTTACTGTCAGTGGCAGTCTTTGTATAGGAGGGGTTAGTAAAATACTAGTTTTTAATCAATTGTGACCATAATTGACAAAAGGGCCCTTATGGCGGATTTTAAAATTGATCGTTATAATGGAAAATATCAACCTGTGAGTGCTTTGTTAGACAATCATTGTTTCTAAAAGTTTCATGGTAACTTTTTGCATCCTGTGGAGTAATTTTATGATAACTGGGGCTCAGGAAGTTGGATTTCTTAGGCTAGAAAGACAAATTTCACTACCCGCCATAAGGTACCTTTTGTCAATTATGGTCACAATTCATGAATAATTCTGTTTGATGTCAGTAATATGAATGAGGTGTCCAAACTTTTAACTGAATTCAATCAGAATAAGATACTCTATGAATTTTAAATTTAAAAATTTAAAATTTTGAGCAAATTATAATTGCCATTTCTGCTACTGCTAAGTGCTATAATTATCATTATTTATCTTGTTCCATTATTTTTATTACGTTTTTTTCTCATTAATTTTATTTCAAACATCATTAAAGAATCATCAGTGCAATGCTGTGTACATTATGTGCATTATGTAGATAGTACATGCATGTACATGATTGCAGAGTGTCAATTTGGTTTGTTTCTTAATTTAGGAGATTTTGATGAGGAAGTAACTGATCACAAAAAGAATACAAATAAGTCACAAGCAGAATTTGAAGAAATGAATTGCACGATGGAGGTTGGTGTGGTTTATTGTGACCATGTTTTACTCGAAATATAAAAAATGAGTTGTTTTTCAAAAATGCCATGTACATTATGTATATGTCTATGTAGCATGCATATACATAATGTAAGTTCATTGTTCAAATTTTTTGTTGGAATTAATTTTTGTGGCTTAAAAATATTTTTTGTTAAATAAATAAGCTATATACTGTACTTTTTATTGATTTTTGTTATTGTTCGTGTATACAGGCATTAGGACAGTCAGGACTAGCTGCTGATGATGATAAAAAAAATTAATCAGAACAAGAAGAAGATATTAAACAATGATGTTAAATCTAGCTCTCCTCATTTTTTAGTAATTATAATGTAAGTAAATAAATACTTGTCTAATCTCACTTTTTTTTCTGTAGCACAAAACAGTTATGATTTAAAGCAGCTAAATGACTGCTGTAGGTCCTCATTGAGGTGTATACTACTGCTACTACTGAAGCAGCACCTTAGACGGGTCTATGCACTCAGTGATAAGTAAGTGAAAAAATGGCCATTTTCCAAAAATGCCATGTAGGTTTTTTACAAAAAGTGGCTCTGAAATCAACCCAAATTTTTATTGTATTTTCTGATACATATTGATGTCTTTATGCTGTGTAGAAAGTTGCAGCTCATTCTGACTAATAATTTTCGAGTGACAGTGTTTATATTGTTTGTAATTTTCAAGGAGTATACTCCAACTGACAGTAACAAGATGGGAGAGAAGGCAGTCTCTCAGAGGCAAGGGATTCTGTATGAGCCTTAGTCAGTTGTCAATGCTGACAAGAAATGAGAGAAAAGACTCAACTGGATGATACTCCATGCCTGATTCTACATCCCTACCCCCACCAATAGTCGTCCCTCCTCCAAATCAAAATAAAGTAAGAATACATGTACTTATAATTGATGATAATTAGAATGTTGTTACTGTTTCTGGAAAATTTTACTATGCCTTTAATTTTGCTAGATCAACTTACCAACTCACCCCCCTGGACAGTTAGATCGAGTCCTCATACTGGCCTTACCAGTTAGCAATGTAAACTTATATGCATGGAACTTAAGCAAAGTCTAACGCTTCATTGTAAAATACACTGGCATACAAATGGAATTATGCTCAAATTGTAGCAAGAAGAAGGTTGTTATATTTCTGCCATCTGATCTCATAGAGGACTGTATGACTTTCTTACTCCATGACATGCAGGCAACAGGCATGCAGCCTCAACCATCAGAGTCCAATGATCCAATTAAACGTATTCATGTCTTCCCTCACCAGTGTGAAAGGACTGACTCTGGCTCACCTCAGCAGCAGCAGCAGAAGCAATAGTCTTTAATACTGGATTCCCTTAATAGTCACCCAGCTCCCAATACACCGTTGCTCACTAAATCACATAAAAAAGATCCTGTGGCAGTTTCGCGCAACCCTGCCCTACCTCCTTGTAATGAGCTTTGCCAAAACTACAAACATTAGATGGATGGAGGACAGAATTTTTTCTCAAGCTCCTCAGATCATAGTAACAGAGTGCAATCCAGTGTACATATCAATGGAATCCAGGACCCAAACATCCAGAGAATGCTGGGTTCAGGAGACAACCAATGCTACTTCCCAGATTGTCTAATATGTTGCAAGATTTTAATCCTCCTCCTCCTCATTCTTTTTCTCCTCCTGCCTACACTCTTCCTACTTCAACTTCTCAATCTTACCCTTCTCTTTCTCTCACTCCTAATGCTCCTTCTTGGTTCACTTGTGTCCCAGTTCTTTCTTCGGTAGTCTATGGTGTTGTTGATTGAAAGATTTTCGAGGTCATAAAGAAGCCTGTCATTATTTTTTATGTGTTCTAATCCTTAATCACAGGAACCTTTGCATTGATATCATTGGAAATGACTTTTCCTCACAGTAACAGTTGTGTATAATAACAAATAATTTTAGTTTTTTCAATGGATTCATTGTAAGAGCTATAATGATTAATCTTTTTAAAGTGTAATGCATATTTCACATTATTTAAGTTCATATACTATTAAACATACAAGTAGGCCTGTAAGGCTATATACTTATAACTTGATTGTAGTGCAATTCTAAGAATGCCAGCAGTTGACATAGCTTTAACCAATTCCTGGAACTGAAGCCACTTGTACAAAGTACAATGTCCATAACATTATTCATTAGCTGATAAAATACCCGTACTTACATGTGTGACTGATAGTGAACTTATTTCTACTGGGGTTATCACCTAAATGGTAATAACTTGCATTGTAATTTCAAGCACTTTATTGTAACCCACTTGAGCTGTAATTAGTTTCCATATAAACGAATTTATTGTAAATTTCAAAAAATATATAGAAAGCAAAGTACATAGCTATTTACTCAATTATAATTAAGAACAACTATCTAGTCAATAATAGTCCTACTAATGAATGCTTAGAAAGTCGCACACAGTTTTAACTTCTTTGCCATTTATACGGTACTTGGCCTTGGCCTTTATCTCGGTACCACTGAAATCCATGGATACATCAACTAAACGCTCATGTAACGGGAGATTATCAGGATTGGGAACATCTATAACAAGTTTTCCAATCTTTGTAACTGCCTTCTTCCCCTCTTTATCCTTGACATACTGCACTCCAGGCTCAGTTGTGCAGTAGATGCTGATGTGAACATCAGTGTCATCTTGACTAAAAGGGCATAAGTCAAGCGTTATGACTTCATCAATTTTTGCAAGCTCTCCTTTCTCAATGAAGACATCAAAGACATCCCTGCACCTATCATGCTCCCATGCACTGTCATAGTATCAATAATGCTCATCGTGCTGTTCAGGATTAAATGGAATAGATGTTCCTATTCCGTATGTAGCATCAACACATCTCCCTTTCACTTTTCCTTTATTTTGATGCCACATCACAGCTCCAGTAGCAACAGCCAAGTGAGGCGTCAAAGGTACTACAACGTGAACATCATGACCTTTAGAACTGTATGCATTCTTAATGGCAGCAGATACCTTGCGATGAATATACTTGCAACCACCAAACCCACCAACCAGATAAAATGTATCAACCTTATGCTCACTATCTTCAATAGCTGAAAGTGTAGATTCTATGATGCCATCCACTGCAGGGCCAAACAATTTAGACTCTATGACTTCATTGCTAACCCACAGCGTATCCATATCATCATCGTATTCCATACCATTGATCCCTTTGGCGAGCTCATTTTGAAAAAATTTGACAAATTTTTTTGGTAGAGTTATTAGTATTTCATTGATCAATTCTTTACCAAACAAAACTTTCTGGTTTTCAAACTCAATGTAGAACATCTTATTCAAGATGGCCTTTTGCTGAGAATAATTGCCATGCTGTAAAAAATTTTGAAAACTAGGATCATTTAACTCACTCTCAAGCAATTTAGAGAATGCTTTGTTAACCTCTGTGCCACCCCATGCATTACCAGTTGGTATATTCTGAACAACAATGCCACCATCAACTTCAAAGTGAGTAGTAATATCAACGGTGCCTCCTCCTATATCAATCACCATGTATTTTGTGGGACGCTTGACAGCTGCTGTTGATGGATCCCCTTCAATTTGTTCAATGATATTTTCTTGACTATAAATAGCTGCTGACTCTGGCTCCAGCGCTAATGAGAGCTTTTCTGGATTGATTTCATCTGGAATGGGGTAGGAGATATCAGATATTTGGGAAAAATGAGTTATCCCATTACTAGATTCTGTTAGCAGACCACCCTATATATCAGAAATACAGCATAAGTATCTAGCATGTGCATGTAAGCATAGTACAGCTACTTACGAGATAAGCAGCTTCTCTCATCATTCTCTTTCCTCGTGCATCCCATATAGCAGGTACAGTAATAACCCAATCAAAATCTGTTGTCTTCAATGGCTTGGCTCCAATAGCGAGATGGTCTATGAGCTGATCTTTAACATACTGTAGTATGAATGCAATGACCTCAAGTAGATAGAACTTTTCACCAGAAAAAGATCTAACCAATGCTTGTCGATTGATATTCTATTGGGAATCAATAATTATGCTGTATAGTATGAACTTACTTTGCTTCTTTTCATTAGCATTTTGATCCTTTCAAAGTAAATAAAATCTTGAGTAATAGAGTGTTTAATGGCTGAGAACCTGTTTCTGGCATTACTTCCAAATGCTATTACAGATATCTTTCGATTCTCATCTCTTTCCAAAAAAAAAGCATTTGGAACTCGAGCAGATTTTTCGTCAGCATCCAGCAGGAAAGTATTAATTTTCTCATCTCCTTTGGTAGTGTAGGCCAGTGAAACTGATGTAGTCCCAAAGTCAATAGCAGCAATATTGCCACCATTTGACTGATTGATATCATTGCAGGTTATAGAAACCTTTTCTGCTTTGCTCAATGGAGGCTTATAGCTCATGCTCTTTTGCTCACAAGTTGAATACAAACTCCTACTGTCCTACAAACAAGTGCAACAGCAAAAGTAACTCTTCAGCACGGCTGTAAAAAACTCCCTTTCAATATATGTATATTGTAAGGGGGGGTTTTGTACAGTGTTAAAGCTGTGATAGCAATTCCTGGAATTTAGAAATCAGTTCCTCTATTGTAATAACAAAGCATGTATCTAGATTATAATCATTGTGTGTATAGTTACTCCTATAGTACAACACTATAGTTCTATAGTTATTATTGCATTTTTCATGCTAGTGTAGGTTGACTTGTTAATGTACATATCAATGTGTATGGTGGAATGCGCATCCATTAAAGGAGTAGAACTGTCAAGAATATTATGGTTTATTTTGACTTCATGTTGAATGAAAAGCTGCCCAGCAGTTCAGAAATTTACATTTAGATATTTAATATTTATATTTATGCTATAATTTTGATTCAATTTTTAGGGGTTGGGGATTTCTATACACCAAGCCACCAAGAATTCTGCTCATCCTGTCATATCCTATCATGGATTTTGGGTATATAGCTTGCATGATGACAATATCAGCCTAGCATATGATACAGATACGATCATGATGATCAGCAACAACATGCACGATACAAGGACCATGTTGGAATACAATACTGCTTCAACCAGAAGAACAACAGGCATGATTCAACAAGCATAGAAAAATTTATTTTGTTTTCTTTATGATTGAACCAATTACTATTTTGTTATAATAGGATGGAAATACAGCTCTTACTTCAGCAGTAAAAGAAGGACATTATGACATTGTGCTACTACTATTTAACTAATGAAGCTGATCCAAACTTAGTGAGTACATATACATGTATGATCTACAATTCATTCACATTACTGTAGCTAGAAACTTATTATTTTATATACTAATTGGTATACTTAGCAGCAGAGTTTTTTGACTGTGTGTAATATTGATTGGTTGGTTATGTATGATAGTAGTATAATACATGTATAGCAAAATGAAATGAATTGAGAGGATCAAAGCATTTTTAATATGAACTACTTGTATAAATATACATGTGCAATCAAACTATTTTATTATATAGAATGAACAACTCGTAATGGCAGCAAGTGAAGGACATCATGATATTTTATCTTTATTGCTCTCTAAAGGAGCTGATCCAGACACTGTAGATAAAGTAAGAACCATATAGCTCCAAATTTTTGTCAGTCAAAAATTTTGTCAAAATCTTAATTTTTTGTTAAAATTAATTTTTGTCAATAAAATTTTTGTCTTTTTTGTTATTATTCCACATACTACCCATGTAGAACAAAAATTTTGTCCATTAAAAATTTCGTCAAGCAAAAGTACCTGACGAATTTGACGAAAATTTTGACTAACGAAAATTTGGAGCTACACGGTATTACTTATTTTATGTACATTTACATACATGTATACACATCACAAAATAGGAGCTAAGTTGTACTGTATTTTAGCCAGTTTTTCATTGATTCCTGTTATTAGTTTCTTGAAAGATCAGTATATATCTCATGTTTTAAAGCCACAAATCACACAGTTATTTTTCTAACATTTACTTAGTCTGGTCAAACTGCTATTGGTGAAGCTATGGATTATGGTCATAAAAATATTGTTTTGCTTCTACAAAACTATGCCAGTAAGAAACTAGCATGTATTGTATTTCATTGCAAATCTTAATTAATAGTCATATTTTAGTTTGCATTTGTGTTATTTAGGATCAATGACACCAGTACCAGTTTATCCTTCTCTTCTGCCTACCACACTTCAAGCCTCTTCCAATCCATTCTTACCACCTTATAATTATAGTTCATTACAATATTATCCTCAGATGCAAGCACCTGTCCGTTATTCTCCTTCATATTCTATTCTTCCCAGCCGTTATTCTCAGCTCCTCATCAACCATTATATAATCCACGTGCACCTGGCTATGTTCCTAATCAACCTTATTATAGTAATATTGCTTAAGTAATTGGGTCGTACACAGCAATATTTACATTGTAAATAGTCAATCATTTCACTGACTAGAAAGAGTACTTTACTGCCTATTAAACTGTTTTAATAATCTACATGTAACTAGCTACTAGAATGCAAACAGTAAGTATTCAGAATTAGTATTTGATTCCTGACCTAAAAGTATTCGGAATTGAAATTTTCTTGATTTACCCCTCACTATTTGAAGTTTTTCTGTTGACATAATTATCAATTATTTATAAAGGTGTGATCAATTAATTAGCACTATGTGCATTTTTTAAAAGGTGAAACCTCATTAATACTGTGTAGAAGGAAGTTTTGGAATAAATTAAATTTGGCCATTTTGGCATTTTGGTACCCATTTGCCAAAATAAAAATCTGCCATTTTGAGCCGTTATGTGCATGCTCAACGGCACATGGCCACAAATTTGCGAAATTAAAATTTTCTAATCACCATAATTTAGCAATTCATCAAATTTAACTCCCTCCAAAATTTTTGTCTATACGATACCTACTGCCGCCTTTTAAAAGTGCCTTTGCTGCTATAACACTACAATGGCTATGCTTGAACTGCAGCACTCAGCACTGTTTAGTATTAATTGAAAAAATTAGTTTTATTTTAATTATTTTAATGAATAAATAATAGCATAGCTAATTGTAAGAAAATTAGTAAGTGATAATTGAATAAAGAGGTGGTCATATGTGGCTATCTATTTTAAATTTAAGATACAAGAGGGAAAGAGTGAGTTTCAGAGAGGAGGGTAAATGGTTCCATTGGTTGATTGCAGAGGGATAATAAAATGAATTTTGGTAGGTAGAAGTATTACAAGTGATTAGAGATAAATTGCCTTTGTTATTAGATTTTAAGTGGTAATTTGATTCATTCCAAAACAGTACAGCCATAGCCATGATGACAATAGTGGTTCTAAATTACATGGCAATAAAGATACAAAATTTTGCATTTAAAATTTTTGCAATGGAGCAAAAAAGAAAATTTACAAAAAATATATTTTACCGTGAAAATAAGCTTTTTTAT